GGTTTAGTCTATTATCATCATGACAGGAAGCATGGTAGCATACAGGCAGACATGGTGCTGGAGAAGCTGAGAGTTCTAATCTGGATCCACAGGCAGTAGGAAGAGAGAGTGACACTGGGCCTGGATTGAGTGTCTGAATCCTCAAAGCCCACCCTCTATGACATCCTTCCTCCAACAAGGCCACACCTACTCCAACAAGGCCACACCTACTTCAACTAGGCCACACCTACTCCAACAAGGCCATATTTCCTAATAGTGCCACTCTCTATGAGCCCATGGGGGCCATTTTAATTCACACCTCCACATGGACCATGAACTGTCAGATGAAGTAAACCCTTTCCTCCTCAAGTTGCTTTTGGTCATGCTCTTTATCACAGCAAAGGCAAGCAACTAAGACAGACATACATTATGTACTCTAGATCAATGGTTCTCAACTTGTAGGTTGTGGTCCCTTTGGGCATTCAACAACCCTTTCACAGGAGTCACATATCAGATATCCTGCATATCAGATATTTACATTACAATTCATAACAATAACAAAATTACAGTTATAAAGTAGCAGTGAAAATAATGTTATGGTTGAAGGTCAACACAACGTGAGGAACTGTATTAAAAGATTGCAGCATTAGAAAAGCTGAGAACCACTGCTCTAGATGAAGGCTACTATGTAGAGAGATGCTGGCAAGCACTCAGGCAAATGTTCTACAGAGGCCAACACAGACACGCAGGCCATACAGGCATAGACAGACAAGCCTATCGTCAAACGCAGGCAGGCTGGCCGGCAATGGGCTCCAGCTATCACCTAGCACATTAGCAAGTGTTTTAAAGGATTTTGTGATCTTAAGACCTGTCAGCATTGCCTTAAGTGAGGTGGGCGGTAATAGAGGCTAACTTGTCCCCCTTCTTTACCATCAGTAAAATGCCATTTGTCCTGTCAACTCAGAGGAACAGAGAACAAATCCTCTGGCTCTGTATTGCTTCTCTTTCAATAAAAGGGTCTATCATGCCCTAAATCACATAGCTGAACTTTCAGTTTTTCCTCCACAGCTCTCACACTTTGACTTCTAACCTCTACATGTCCTCAGAGCCAGCTTTTAGTGGAGTCAAATAGCCAGTAGACTTTCTCTGGCTTGGTCTGCACTCCTCTGTCATCAGAATGCTCACCAGGACCTTAGGAATCTTTCCGAGAGAGGCAGAGGTCCAGTCCAGCTCTTGCCTTTCCCCCTGCAGCTGAGGCTATGAGTTCTAGGTACAGGTAAGGAAGAGAATCATGAGAGAATTTGAGGAGTCATAGAAAGATAAGACATACTTTATTCACTTCAGACAAAGGCTGCTAGTCAGGTAACCACTGGCACACAAAGGACACATGCACAGGCCAGTGACACACAAGCCACATGGTGGTAGGCATATATATCTACAAACACACAGAAACAGGCTGGTAAAGGCAAAGGTTCAGGCCCCTGACCTCAAAACCATATTTATACAGAATCACATAAAAGTGGCACTCTGTCAAAAACAGTTATAACAAATTACATCACTGTTTACTTTGGGGGGTTCCCAGACATCTGGTGCCAGCCATTTTGTGCTCACTCATAATCATAGTCCAGTGTCTGTCACATACCATCATATTTTAACTGAGTTGTACCAGATATTCTTGTCTGTACCATGTTGCCTGAACGTGCATTGGACCGTATGGCCCTCTGTTCCCAACAACTGTACACAGAGGCTCTTTGGGGAGGACTTTTCGCTGCTAGCTTGGTGTTTCCAGTGATTTTCCTTATTCCTGGAAAATTATCAATAGCCTAACATCTTGCTGGCCCTCTGGGAAGATGCATGTAGATGTAGGTCATGGTTATTGTTCTGTGATATGTGTCTCTTTATTTGGTCTGGGTTTCATTTGTTTTGTTCTGTAACTTTCCTGGAGAGGTATTTCAGAAGCAACCTGACATGAGTGTAGAGTAACTAGCAAAACTTCTGAAAATGTGTCCTGGCCATTTTCAGGGTGGCAGGAAGATGTCAAGGTGGGGAGTGAGGGAGAACTGTGGACTTCCACTTTCTGGGATATTTCAGTCTCTTGGATGCTGGAATTGTAGACAGATGCCTGGTGTCCCTGCTGAAGTTGAGTTCTTATTGGAAACACTGTAATATTCATTTTCCTCTACCTACCACATGCAGCAACTTGATTCCCTAACTGGCAGCTGTTGGGCTCTTCCTTGTTACTGTGGCTGAGCTAAAAGACAATTGATCAAACAGCTAACTTGCCTATTGGTATGCCAGCAGCTGGCAGTTTGGGACTCAATAAGGATGCCTTGAGGAGCCAATATGAGTCAACCTTTCCACTCCTGAGGCACAGCCTTAACTAGAACACTTCCAGGTAATTTGCCCTGAATGTTTTCCTACCGTCAGCCTTGGTGAGCACTAAATGATCCCAAACCATTTCCACTCAGGCCGGAGGGGCAGAAATTCTTCTTAGTGGCCCAGCAGAGACAAGGACAACTATAACTTGTATTAAAAGGACAACACTGTGACTAGTACAAATGTAAGGCTCTCTCATTTGGGGTGATACATATGCTAATCTGTTTGACTTAATTATTCCACATTACATTCATACATATAACATCACTGTAGCCTATAATCGTAGACAATTTGTCAATACACAAGAAAAAATACAAAAAAAACTAAATATTATCTATATTATACGTAAACAGAATCCATTTGTGAGTGTGCCTAGACTTCATTACTAATTTTTAAATTTAGTAAGGAGTCCTGGGAATTAGGGCTTCTTTAGGAAGTGTCCTGTCAGGAATGAAAATGAACCATCCCAACAGTACCTGATATTGGAAAGACCTAATTCCCATTTGGGCTAATATGAGTCCATAGCTCTACCTACAGGGACATGTTTCCCAAAATTTAATATTTTCTGTAAATTGTAACATTGCTAGGAGCAAGGTGTAGACAGACTGAGAGTTTCTCTCTTCCCACTTTTGGTCAAAACTGTGGATTTAGTTTTACATGCATGTATAAATGTTTGTTTTGTTTTGTTTCTTGTTAACGCATACTGGGAGGGGAAGGAGGAAAGTTTTCAGACCCAGTCCAGAAGAAACAACACTTGGTAATTTGGAACAGAAATCAGGTTCTGTGTAGAACACCACTTCTCTGAGACTCGTCCTGGTGCCAGCAAGTATCCTGGGTACTTGTTAAGACTTTACATTTTGAAACTCAACCCATAATAACTAAAAAAAAAAAAAAAACCTATATGGATTCAACCCAGCACTCTGCTTTAACAAGCCCTCCAGATGATTGGCAAGCCCAGAGAAATCTGAAAACTACTGACTTGTATTACTTGCTATATTGTTTCTCGATTAACAAAGCAACAGTTTGGATAGTTCTAAAGCATTAAGTTTACTTAGTGGGGCTGGAGAGATGGCCCAGTAGTTCAGGGCACTTCCAGAATACCCAGGTTTAATTCCCAGCAATGACACAGCAGTTCACAACAGTCTGCGACTCCATTCCCAGGAGATCCGACGCCCTCTTTGGCCACTGTGGGCACTGCATGGATGTATTGTGCAGAGCTACATGCAAGCAAAACACCTATACACTTTAATAACATTTTTAATGAGGAAAAGGTTGGGTTTTTTTTAATGTTTGCTTAAGTTTTCTGATAGGTGCCAGATTTCCTGCTGTGTATTGTGTTGGCTAGAAATAACAAAGAATTGGTACAGATACCTATCAAATACTCAAGCCAGCAAAACCCATGCATGTCGCACTGCTGTTCACAAAGAGCAAGGCTGATTCTCCCGAATAGGTTCTTCCTTTCTATAGAACTCACTAGTTTGGATCACATGTGCTACTCATCTTCCCAAATAGCTGTTGCACCTGGAGCTAAAACAGGGTGGAAATGTGCCAGGGGGGAATTGCCTGAAGAAGAAAGTTTTGCCCTTCTTTCCTCCTAAAATGATGTTAAAGCCTCACATTAGGGAAGGCTGATCGCTGACTCTTTTCTCTGGGTAGTATCACTAAGCCCTTGTCCTGTCAAAACCTGTTTGCAGGATTGATGGCAACAGGCAGGATGTAAACGGTGAAATTTATAAAGTCTAATTCATTTCCTACTTCCGAACCTCTAATGAAATCCCCAAAACACAGCGGGGATGGCAGTTATCTTCAGTGCCAACCAATGATCCCACCAGGAGCTGAATCCGAACCTAGGGACCAAGAAAATCCACTACTAGAGATCCGCGCGGGTACGCGTGTGTGGTATGTGAGAGACAGAGCTGTGTGTGTGTGTGTGTGTGTGTGTGTGTGTGTGTGTGTGTGTGTGTTAGGCAACACGTTTCTTGCAAGCATCTTTTCCTCTCCTAGATGCCGTCCTTCGCCCGCCACAAATAGAAGACCACCAATCCAGTCCCCAACACACCGGAAACAGCGACAAGCCCCTGCCCCCCGACGTCATCAGTGGTCGCCTGCAGTTCAGTATTATTCTTACTCCCTTTTCCTCGTGGTCCGGACACATTTCGAGTCTCCTGTCTCCACGCCACTAGTAGCTACCCTCCCCCCTTTTTTCCCTCTTCCTGGTTTTGAGCCTGGCAAACGCACTGTGATTTCCCCCGTTAGCCCTCTCCCCTTCGGCCTCCGGGAGCAGCGGCGGTGGCAGTAGCCGCACCAGCTCTGTCCCAGACGCCTCTGCGAAGGTCGCAGCCACCGAGAATCTCGCCGCATCTTTCCGGGACCACACCGGACACAGTAACACACAGCAAGCATCCCCAGCCGGCTCCAGCCTCCAACCAGGGTTTGACCCCGGGAGTTGTTGGGCATTGGCAGGCCAGTTCATTCTTGAAGCCCGGCGTCTTTTATGCCAAAACACATACAATGCCTGTCCTGCCTCTTTCTCATTTGTTCGAGGTTGACTCACAAGGTTATCAATCATTCTGAAGTGGGAACTCATTTTTTTGTGTGAATAGTTTATCGTGACTCATTTAAGCTGCTGGACCAATTCCGGTCCTCAGTGTGCCATTTCTGGTGTGTTTGCCTTGAATTTGTAATTTTTAATGTTCTGTATTTTGTGTTCCGTGCCCAACTGCATGCCTGGCGCGCAGGGCATTTACGGAAACATAATTTCTGCGTTGGAATCTCCACTCACCCTTGTTCTGACTATGCATTTTGTAAATTAATAAGATTGCAATTCTTCGGCTTCCTCTTCTGAAGAATGGGTATGTTAGCAGTACCTACCTCTAGTGTGCTAGTGAGAAGAGAAATATTTTGTAGCACAAAGTAGTGTATTATTAGTAAGGATTACATTTTTTGAAGTTGACGGTATTGTCTTCTCACCTAAGATACCATGACCAATAAATAATAGGTTATAATAATGACTAACTGAGGAGCTTTGGTCTAGATAATAAGGCCACGCTTTTGACCCATTGTTATTTCATTCGATAACATTTTCCCTTAGCTGCCCCATTGAAAGTGTACTCTCTGGTGGTCATTAACCTTGCAGATCTACCAGTCTGGTTCCTCTATTGTATTTTAAGAGCTCGAAGGAAAAGCAGATTTCTGTTGTGATAGTAGTAGATCTGAGTCCAGAGGCGCCTGCTGAAATACTAGTTCTTGTTCCAAGGCTGATGAATTCGACCGGGGACATAAAGTTAGAAGTAGAACTGGAGAATAATTATTACGAAGGAAAAACACAAGAATGAGGATGAGCAAGTGAGCTGTAGGTAGAGCCCCCAAACTGCTGGACCATGAAGCCATGTGACCCTTTGTGGCATATTTACATTGCACCCTGCTCTCCTATCTGTATGGACCGCTGACCTTTTGCCATGTACTCTGTTTGTTCAATGAAGCTCAGAAAAAGGGCTTGCAGTCTTTCACTGTCCAAAGGCTTCCTTTGTGTGCTAGTCTTGAGGTAGCTTTTTCCAAACCTCTATTCTCCTGCCACAGTATGATTAACGTAAAGGTAAATCAAAAGGATACAAAATATCTTATTAAATGGAATTAGGCTCCTAGTATTTGTTTCTGCCACCAAGTTTCAGGAATGACAAAAGTAATTGATTCTATCTTTTTGTTTTAGTGGTACTGGGAATTGAGCCTAGGGCCTTGCACTTGCTAGGTAAGTGTTCTACCACTGAGCTATGATCCCCCCAACCTCTTCTCAGGTATACTTGAGACCGAATTTTATTAGTTTCCCGTGTTGACTTCAAACTTGTGGTCATATTGCCTCAGTCTCCCATATTAGTAGGATCACAGGTGTGGGTTGTTATGTCTTGTGTGTTGCCATATTTTTTATCTTTTATGATTTTATTTTGGTTCAATTTATTTTTGCTGCAGGTTGGTATTGATACTGCTACCCATGGCTCCTGAGTTCTGGGAATATAGAGCTGCACTACGACACCCAGGGATGCCCAGTTCTTAACAGGACACTATCCACTGGATCCAACTGAGGCTCCTAGAGATGTCTGTATGTCGCTTCTTGCATTGTTTTCTGTGGACTAATATGTGCTCTGAAATGTCATATAAATGTAGTACTCTAAATGTCCCAAGCCAGTATTTCACCCAGTGAGTTGATGGTCTAGGTCCTTGTTTACCGATGTATGGTTCTTGTATTCAGAAGAGCTCACTTAGCTACTCTCCCTGGGCTCTTCTCAGCTGTAGGAGACTGCTCTGTTCTCTGCGAGTGGATTCTTAAATATAGACCACCTGTGCTTTTGAAAGGGCCCAAGCCTTTCCCACAAGCACCTTCAACCTTCCCGTGTGAGGAGAGCTATAGTGCCATCCCTGCTCACAATTCACATAACTGACTCATCTGACTTAGGATCACAGTTTGCTTCTTTCTTAAACCTCCCCTTGGGGCTTTCCTATGAGGGCATGGCTGTGGAGGAGGGAAAGAACACCACCGTGTTCTTGCTGTCTTTATGGAACACTTTCTGGAAGAGCTCATGTCTGCCCTGTGATCATATCATCTAATACTCTAAGGGAGGGAACAGAGCAGGTGAAGCAGAGAGTCAGTGAGTAAAATGCATGATGTCAGCACCAAATGAAACTTATCTTTATTCTTTTATATGCGAAGAAAATTTTAAAATAGATTTGTTCATGTGTAGCTCTGAATGAATGTGCTTCCTGAGCATTAGGTATACGGAGGAATGCTAGGAGACTGCTGGCTTGGAAAACTCTGAGATGAAAGGGACTTTGAGGTAAGAAAGAAGTGAACACTGGGGTTCAAAACCAGATGAGGCGATTACAACAGTGGTGACCAGCAAGAAAAATGGCATGTTTCCCCTCATCAGAGCTATCTGGGATCCCTGTCAGGATGACACAGCCATGTCTGTGTGCTTAGGATACTGGTTCCTGATATTGTGAACATGACAGCAGTACAGCTTTCCTCACATAGGCGGGTTGAGTGTGGTAATGAGAGAGAGTTGACTCCTTTGGATGCTATGTGTGGTCCAGTTTTAAGACTCCCCTGACAGAGGACAGGAGAGTCTCCTAGAGCTTAGAAAAAGACAGGGGAGACAGCAAGAAGGGCAGCAGATGGCTTTTAAAGCAAGACCCACACAGTGGTAAATGAATACCTGGACCATCAACTCACTGGCTGAGATGCTGGTCTGGGAATACTTTGGGGTAATTTCAAAAGGGGGAACTAGAAACCAGGACTGTGGAATCCCACCTTTGTGCCCTCCTGAATTACTGCAAGCTATAGCTGTCGGAAAAGCAGGCTTGCTTCTCACCATCTTGGAAAAAGTTTCTTGTTCAGTGAGGAAAGTAGAATTGATTCCATGCTTTTACAGGGTGATCCTGAAGATGGAACACCATTCTATGTGTGTGGATCACAAACACTTTGCAAAAACAACCCCTTTCTGTGAATGAGATCTTGGGGTGCTTATGAAATGGAGGAATCAGTGAGTTGTCAAGTTTTTCCAGCATAGTGCTGAGCACATAGGGTTAGGTGCACAGGATGGAGTAGAAAGAAGAGATGGAGTCAGGCGGTGATGGCGCACGCCTTTAATCCCAGCACTCTGGAGGCAGAGGCAGGCGGATCTCTGTGAGTTTGAGGCCAGCCTGGGCTACAAAGAGAGTTCCAGGAAAGGTGCAAAGCTACACAGAGAAACCCTGTCTCGAAAAACCAAAAAGAAAAAAAAAAGAAAAGAAAGAAGGAAAAGGAAAAAAAGAAAGAGGAGATGGGATACTTGTGAGGGTGGTTTGGAGATAAGATTTCACCCACTTTTCCAATAGCATTGGCATTACCTGAGCCCACTTTTTCTTCTGGGAATGATTTTTGGTTCTCAGCTTCTGTTGCTCTGCAACAGTTTGCTTCTGAGTTCAAAGCGTGATTGGTGGGGTGCAGGAGCAGGGAAATGTGGCCAGCCTCGACGGGGGTGGGGGGGTGGGGGGTGGGGGGGGTCTTGGCATCATTGTGGGATGCTTTCTATGAGAGCTCATGTCTGCAGTGGAATCATATCATCTAACACTATGAAGGAGGGAACAGAGCAGGGAAAGCAGATGGTCAGTGAACAAAGTACATGATGTCAATACCCAATGAATCTTTTGTTTACTTTTTTAATGTTCAAAGAAAATTTTAAACCAAGATTGGATCTATTGTTCATACTATTTTATGAATTATTCTAAAAAAATATTACATACTTCCTCATTTAACAAATTAGAAGCTTAGTAGGGTGGTAGTGTCTTTAGGCAGGCAGATCTCTGTGAGTTTGAGGCCAGCCTGGTCTACAGAGCAAGTCCCAGGACAGCCAGGGCTACACAAAGAAACCCTGTCTCAGGGGAAAAAACAAACAAACAATTAAGCTTTTAATTTATTTTGTTTGTTTGTTTGCTTTTTGTTTTGTTTTGGTTGAGGCTTGGTTTTTTGTTTGTTTGGGTTTTTTGGTTTTTTTGTTTTGTTTTGTTTTTTGAGACAGTGTATCTCTGTGTAGCTCTGGCTGTCCTGGAACTTGCTCTACAGACCAGGCCTTGAACTTACAGAAATCCATCTGCCTCTGCCTCCTGAGTGCTGGGATTAAAGGAATGTGCCACCACACCCGGCTTGTGAATAATGTTTTGATAAATGCTGCTGTAGTTCTATCCTTTTAGTTTGTGTCAAAAGAAGAATTGATTGCTGGACTATTTTAAATATTTGAGGAACTACTATAGTGTCCTTTCTAGTGCCTGTATCAATCTACATTTCCACCAACAGTACATAGGGTTCTGTTTTCCCTATATCCTTGCCAATATTTGGTATGTTTTATTTTTTAACAATTTTTATGTGCACTGGTGTTTTGCCATGTGTGTCCAGTCCCCTGGAACTGGAGTTAGAGACAGTTGTGGCTGCCATGTGGGTGCTGGGAATTGAACCTGGATCTTCTGGAAGATCAGTCAGTGCTCTTAACTGCTAAGTCATCTCTCCAGCCTGATTGATATCTTTTATTTCTTGATAATAACTATCATAGCAAATATAAGGTGGTATCTGGATTTTATTTTATTTTAATTCACCTAATGCTTAATGGTGTTGCACATTTTTACATTTTTATATGCTTGTTGGCTATTTGTACATCCTCTCTGGAAAAATGTCTAGGGCTGGGGAAATAACTCAGTGGTACAGCACATGCCTACCATTCATGAAGCCTGGGGTTCAGTAATGCCATCATTTATAATGAATGCATGCCAGAATTGTAAAATATTTCAATTTCACATGAGAACATTTGATTTAGCTTAGCAACATCAACTGGCAAGACTAGTACATAGAATGTTGGTCATGTGCCCCTTCTATAGTCCCTGCTGGCAAGGTGGCTTTAAGCCTAAAAGCACTAATCATAGTCCCAAGAGTCAAAATGAATTCTACTCTTAAGGAGGGAATAGCAAAAGCATTTCACTGGCTCCTTATTGACAAATTCTAAGGAAATGGCAAGAGTGCAAATAGGTGGACCTGGAATATGTGTGTTTTGGCTATGGCTACATGAGGCTTATAAAATCATGTACAGATATGTCTCCTTTCAGCAGGGCTGCATATAAGGTTTGACCCAAATGCAAGCACATTGACTATCACCAACAGTACGAGAACAGTTGGGGACATTAAAAATGAAAGGCAATTTTAGATTTGGCAAGATTCTCTAGACAGTTCTCTCTGAGTCATTATGAGCCATTACTGTCTGCATTATATAATCAATCCACAAAAGCCAAGCTTTGGCCACTTAATTAGGACATATGGAAGCTGCCCTAATATTGGGGGAACTGAAAAAGGATAGTGTAGGCTAGAGAAGGAAAAGGAGAATGCTGGGAGATGGAAGGCTGAGGAAAGGAGACACAACCAACCGCCATGGGGAGAAGCATGATGTAAGATACTGGTAAGCCACGAGCCACGTGGCAAAGTATAGATTTATAGAAATGGGTTAATTTAAGATATAAGAACAGATAGCAAGAAGCCTGCCACGACTATACAGTTTATAAATAATATAAGTCTCTGTGTGTTTACTTGGGGGATGCGAGTGGGAGAGATTTGTCCCGACTGCCAGCAGGCCAGGACACAGGAAAACTTCAGCTACAAACATGCTTTCAGGAAAAAAAATGGAAATCCACTAACAGAAGAATAGTATTCCCATATCCTTCTCCTTATACAAAAATCAGTCTGAAATGGATCAAAAACCTTAATTTAAAACCTGAAATGTTGAAAATTCTAGAGGAAAACATAGAGACTATTTGTCAAGACACTGGGTGGGCAAGAAATTTCTAAACAGAACTTTAGTATCACAGAAACTCACCCCCAAGTATCATCAGATGGGAAATACATGGATTGAAAAAGTTTCTGTACAGAAAAGGAAATTATCAGCACAGCAGACAGGCAGTCCACATAATGAGAAAATTTTTACCAGCTATATTTCTAATGGGAGCTAATATCCAGAATTTAACAAAGATCTACAGAATTTAAACACCAAATAAATAAAACTGCCATAGACAAATGGGTTAATGAGATGAACAGACACTTTTCAAAAGAAAAAATGTAAATGGCCAGTAACTATTTTAAACATAAATGGCCAGTTTGACATCCCTAGTCATGAGAGAAAAATGCAAATTAAAACTACTTCGAGTCAGGCATGGTGGTGAGTACCTTTAAGTCCAGCACTCAGAAGGCAGAGGCAGGAGTTTGATGTTAGCCTGGTCTACATAGTGGTTTCTAAGCCAACCAGAGCTACAAAGTAAGTCCCTATCTCAAATAAATAAATAAATGGAGTAAATAAAAAGTGCTGTGAGACAAGCAGTGGTGGCACACGCCTTTAATCCCAGGACCTGGGAGGCAGAGATGGGCAGATCTCTGAGTTTGAGGCCAACCTGGGCTACAGAGCAAGTTCTAGGACAGCCAGAGCTACACAGAGGAACCTTTTCTCAAAAAATAAAACAACAACAACAACAAAAACCTTTGAGATCCCACCTCACCCCAGTTCAAATGGCTGTTATCAAGAAATCTGACAA